TAGGAGGAGTTGCAAAGGGCAAATGTCATCACTGTGGTAAGGCAGGCCACTGGAGAAGAAACTGCAAGACATACCTCGCAACCAAGAAGAAGGAAGGTACGACCATTTCTTCTGAGGTGTATGTTATAGAAGTTAACATGTCTATATCTTCATCATGGGTACTAGATACTGGATGTGGGTCTCATATCTGTACTACCATGCAGGGACTGAAGCAGAGTAGACGGTTAGCTCGAGGCGAGATTGAACTCCGAGTCGGCAATGGTGCACCTGTGGCTGCTTTGGCAATCGGAACTTATAGTTTAGTCTTGCCTAGTGGTCTAATGTTGGAATTAAACGATTGCTTGTACGTTCCTGCAATTAGCAGAAACATTATTTCTGTTTCATGTCTTGATAAGAGTGGTTTCATCATTTCTATTAAAGACAAGTCCCTTTCCGTTTACAGAAAAATTGTTTTCTATGCTAATGCCAACATGACCAATGGGTTATATGTCCTTGACTTGGACATGCATGTCTATAACATATCAGCCAAGAGGAACAAACCGAACGGTTTGAACCAAACATACCTATGGCATTGTAGGTTAGGTCATATAAACGAGAAACGCATATCCAAGCTACATCGGTCGGGAATGCTGGAGTCATTTGATCTTGAATCATATGACACATGCGAATCTTGTTTATTGGGCAAGATGACCAAATCTCCTTTCACCGGACACAGTGAAAGAGCTAGTGATCTTCTGGCACTCATTCATAGTGATGTGTGCGGGCCTTTCAATACAACTGCACGAGGTGGTTATTCATACTTCATCACTTTTACTGATGACCTCAGTAGATATGGCTATGTGTATTTCATGAAACACAAGTCAGAATCCTTTGAAATGTTCAAAGAATTCAGGAATGAAGTTGAAAAACAACTTGGCAAAAGTATTAAAACACTACGATCCGATCGAGTTGAAGAATATTTTAGTGGTGAGTTCGATGACTATCTTAGAGAGCATGGGATTTTATCCCAACTCACACCTCCTGGGACTTCACAATGGAATGGTGTCTCTGAAAGGAGGAATCGAACCCTGCTTGACATGGTTCGTTCTATGATGGGTCATTCGACTCTACCAGAATCATTCTGGGGGTATGCGCTGAGCACTGCAATATATACTCTTAACCGAGTTCCAACCAAGGTGGTTGAAGGAACACCATACCAGCTATGGATGGGCAAATGCCCGGTTTTGTCACACTTAAAGATTTGGGGCTGTGAGGCTTATGTCAAACGTCTTATGACGAATGGGAAGCTTGACACCAAGTCTTATAAGTGTTTCTTCGTGGGATACCCAAAGGAAGCTCGAGGGTATTCATTCTATCACCCTATCGATAAGAAGGTATTCGTTGCTCGCAATGGTGTCTTCCTCGAGAAGGAATTTCTCTCCAACGCAACTAGTGGGAGAAAGATAGAGCTCGAAGAAATTTGAGACGATGAAGAAACTACCGCGCCGGTTCTGGAACATGAGCTAGAGGAACAAACCGTTGTACCTCAAAATGCTCAAGATACACAAGAACCCCGTAGGTCTAACCGGTTACGCACACAACCTGAAAGGTATGGATTCCTCCTAACCTTTGAGAGTGACGTAATGCTTATCGACCAAGATGAGCCGGAGACCTACCTCGAGGCAATCAGTTGTCCCGAGGCTGAGGAATGGCGTCAAGCCATGCAGTCCGAAATGGATTCCATGTACACCAACCAAGTATGGACTTTGGTTGATGCACCCGAAGGGATGAAACCCATTGGGTGCAAATGGGTCTTCAAAAGAAGACTGACATGGATGGTAAGGTGCAAACCTTCAAGGCACGATTGGTAGCAAAAGGATATCGTCAAATACATGGTATCGACTATGACGAAACTTTTTCTCCAGTTGTCATGATTAAATCCATTCGGATCTTACTTGCTATCGCAGCATACCATGATTACGAAATCTGGCAGATGGACGTCAAAACGGCTTTCCTTAATGGAAACCTCCTTGAGGATGTCTTTATGACACAACCTGAAGGGTTTTGCGCTCCTGAAGAATCTACCAAGGTATGCAAGTTGCAGCGATCAATCTACGGATTGAAGCAAGCCTCACGGAGTTGGAACATCCGCTTTCACGAAACTGTCATCGGCTTTGGTTTTGAAAGAAATT